AGTCCCCATGACAACAAGAGGTAAGAGAAATCCATGAAAAGCAAAGGACTCAAACCTCTCTCAATACAAGGTGTCACCAATTTATACTGGAATTTTTACTTCAAAAATCAAAAGGCTTTGTCCACAACTTTCCCTGAGAACCTGTTGTTCCTTCGCCGCCAGTCGGTGCTTCTAACAGAGCAGAACAAGCCTCAGTAAATCAAAAAAACGAGCCGGGGTCAGACTCATCATTTAAACCCATGAATACAACCAACTGACTCTTCGCCTTTCTCTTTTCCAAGGTGGCTGTTTTTCCCAAGGCCTATTTTTGGATTTTCTGTAGCGTCTACATGCTTGAGTGATACAGCATTCACACACAGAGCGAAGCTCACAAACTTTGACACTACAAATAACACTTAAACCATTAGAGGCAAAGCACTGTAGCATTTACTTAAGTGGATTATCGAGCAAAATCCTACAGAAAGTATGTGCTTGAAGACATAGTGTAATAGTGAGATTACTGCAGGCTCCCTGTGTGCTCTAAGTGATGCTCCAAAAGCCACCGAGCCCCACTGCTGCCTTGCCCAGCAGCAGGAAGCTGTGGCCACACAGGGCTCTGCAGGCTGGGCTCCTGCAGCAATCCCCTGCCCGCGTGTTGTCCTCACACTCATCTCACACTCTTTGCAAGAACGAGCGAGCACAGCGTGAAGAGGCACGGGGTGCTGAAAGCTGCTGCCATTCCCATGGCTACAGTCAAGTAGCCTGTGGTTAACCATCATCAGGTGATAAAACACTGCAAAGAGGCCTGATTTGTTCCTGCATCCCAATCCTTGATCTGAAACGGAGTGGAAAGGCTTGGAGAAAACTGCTGGCCAGGGAGGCTGATGGGGGTTCCCCTGGTTCTGCACGCAGGGAAAGGGTAGGGCTGTGGGTCTGGCACACGGCAGCTCTGGGCATGAAAGAAATTCCACACCTGATGCTTCAGTGGCCTCTTCTCAACCTCCAGAAGGGCAAACGCAGGGACAGACTCAGGACAGCCTGGTCCTGTGCTCACAGCCACCAGCCTACAAGCCATCCGCAGCACCCATGCTGGCCTTGCTGCAGCTGGACAGGCGCTGGCAGAAGGTCAGTGGTGCATGGGAGTGCTTGCATTGCATGGAAGACTTGGGCTAGGAAAAGTAATGCAATGGTAGGACCTGATCCATACCTAAAGGTTTGGGAAAGGTGATGAGAACAAGGTGTCGGAAGAGCTGCGTTACATGGAAATGCTTCTGCAGCCTTCAAACCAGATAAATCCCAATATATTGGATCCAGAGAGGTGGGAGGGCAGCTGAGTCACTACATTTCAGCAAAAGCCAACTCACAGCAGGTCCAGGAAAAAAATCAATACCCTTTCCCCAAGTTACCAGAAGTGCAGAGGGCACAGCCCACTAGGAAGGCGTTTTACAGAGAAATAGAGCAGTTACCAGGCAGCGGTGCCTGTTGTTAGGAAAAAAAACCATCTGTCCTTCCACTGTAGGTGTTCCTATAGTGCCCATCAGTGCAGAGCTGACGGAAGTGGTTTGGTTTTCTGAATAGGCTGTGCTCCTGGTCGTGGTGCGCATTATTTGTACCAAGGCAGTGGCTCACAGAGCAACATGCAGGTCTGACCATTATGGAAAACACTCAAAAAAAGAAAAAAAAAAAAGGAAGAAAAAAAAAAAGAAAGAAAATACAAACCAGACAGGCCGTGAAAATAGCATTAGACATGCAAACCATTTCATTGCCTGTCATGGTGAGTGCTCCCTGCAGCGGCTGCAGCGGGACCACGGCGCGCACAGCACTATGTCCATGTAACTGCTCAGCACCCGGGGGCCTGGGGCAGAGCACCAGCAGCACGGTCTGATTGCAGAGACACTGCCACAGATGAAGGCTTGGCCAACAACTGGCACGTGTACACAGATCTGAGCTCCAAGAGTGAGGTTTTAGAATAATCTTCAAACCTCTGAACTTCAAATCTCCATTCAGTGCTCTCCTTGCATTACGGAGATCGCATTTTTGTTAAAACTACACATTTGCTTTCAAAATACGGTTACACGTCCTCAATTTTCTGCTAAAACACCAGATGTCAAGACAGCCTGCAAAACACATATGGGCAGAATGGAACCACTTCGCCTTCCCGAGCCCGCAGGCAGCTTCTCATAGCACTGGACTGTCCCACTCAGCCCACAGAGAGGCTGAGATGCTGGAAGTGCTCAAACCTACAGCTTTGGTCACTCTCATGAGCAGACCAACCCAGCTGAGTGTCCTCTGATCAGGTTCTTCCTCTTTACGCAGGTGCTGAGCTCCAGCTCTGCCCCCAGATCCCTCCAGCCCTGGTGTGAAGCTGCTCCAACCGCTGCAGGGCAGCAGCCACGCTGCACCTGCCTGACTGCAAGTCAGCAATGATTCCAATGGAGAATAACAGCACATCCCATGATTGAGGAAAAAATGTAAAATGAGAAGGAGTCACCAGTGGCTTCCAAAGGAAAGGCAAACACCTGTTCCTTGCCAGAACAACCTGTTCCATGGTGAGACAGAGCACACTGGTTAAGGGTCCACTATCCAAGGTAACGCCTGCTGCTGGGTATCATGGCTCCAGAACTGAAGGTGGGCAAGTAACACATGCACCAGATATAAGCAATGCCACACTGCTAACAAAACAAAAGGTTAAAATTCACTTCCAGTTACCCCTCTAACACAGTGTTTTATAGTAGTGGAGTTACATTCAACACTGAAAATCCCTAGGAAATTATCAACAAAAGCTAATGCACATCATGGTGCGTTGAGTGCAGCTTAAGGAGAGCTCCATCACCAAGCCCATCCTTCAGGCAGCCCGGAGCACATCACAGGCACAGAGCAACCCTGGCAGCACAGACCAGAGCTGCTTGACACCCAGCTCACACCAGTGCACGTGGAGGAGCTGCTCCTCCCCACGGCTCCACGGGGCGATGGGAGATGTGCTCAGCAGCAGTGACAAAGCAAGGAACTCAGACTGCTATTTCTTTATTTCATTGCAGAAGAAAAAAAATAAACTTGACCACATTAAAAACTAACAGCTTATCATTTGTAAAAGGAAGTGTTATGTTCAAGATGTAAACAAGTGATAAAAGTCACTGTAAGGAGATGCTGCTATAAACACTTCAGTGGTTGCTTTTTTTTTTTTTTTTCCTTTAATAAAAAGAAAACAGAAATATCTGCTGATAGGAAAACTCAGTTACTCGTGCAGGGAGCAGTCAGTTCATCTCAGTTCATCTCAGCCCTGGGCAGGATGTGATCCCTATAGGTGCACATGGTGCTGTCCCCACTGCACGCTGTGCGACCCGCTGCCCTGCTCCTACACGGCTGCAAAGCTTCTCAGGGGAAGGAGAAGAACGGTGCTTGGGGTGGGCAGGTGGAAGATGGTTTAGGTTAAACCATCGGGGCAAATGCTCAGGGCCACAGTGATAATTAAACAGTGAAGTAATTTATTTACCCCATGACCACAGAATCCATCCTCCATCCTACTCTGCCCAGGACCTCACAAATCAGCTCTGACCCAATCTTCTCATCTCACGCCTCCTGCCAGCACAGCATATCACCAGCACCAGGAACCAGCTGGGCTGGCCACGGAGCTACTGCAGGGATGAAAAATTTCACAGCACTTTCTGCAAATGAAAACCCGCATGTGCTGTTTGCTCCAGGAGTGCGGTTCCATCCCCTCTCCAGCCCTTTTTTGTGCAGCGTGATTTTCGAGATGAAAAAGCAGCTTGTCATATCCTGTGCTTGATCTTCTTTACCCTTTTTGAATAAAACCAAACCCGTTTATTTCTGTGCTGTTCTCCAGCCTCTTCCAGCAAAATTGCTGAACTTATTTGTCGTGGAAAAGCTTTCCTATGGGGAAAAAAATCTTAAAAAAGAGAACTGTATCTGAGATTATTTTGCTTAAGCGTATAAATAAAATAATGGCATCCACTCCTTTATTCCTTCTCTGAGTTGGTACAGCGTTCCGAAAAGAGACAAATGTACTTTCAAACCACTGATCTCCACTTTACTGGAGTCCCTCAAGAAAATCCCTCAGCATTTTGACAAGGCCAATCGGATGCCACGCCGAATGGGTGTTGCGAAGACTTTGCTTTTACAATATCCACACAAAGTTGGCTAGACTTCCTCAGATTTACATACTGATTTCATTAAAACAGTGAGTGCTCTTTCAATAAAGGGTGCCTGGCTGAGGCATGCAGTAACCAACTTGCTGCCCCTGTTTTTCCTTAATTTTCAGAGCACACGTGTAACAAAAATGCAGAACCCATCTGTTTAGCCACTGCTTCTTGGAACGAAACAAGTACGGGTTTCTCATAACTGTGAGCTAAAGAGCCACAGTAACTTGCAAGCTACACTTAATACACTGCATGCTTTTTGGTTTGAGATCAAAGAGAGAAAAAGGAAGGAAGGCAGAAACCAAGGGGAAAAAACACCACTGCCAACCCCTGAGCCAGCACAACTCGTTGCTCTGCTACACCTGCCGAGGCACTCAGCCTTCCCTCACTGCGGTTCAGGATTTTCTAGTAGTCAGAACTCTTAGTATAAGAGCCTCTTAAAGTGTTACGCGATGTCAAACACATTTTGGGATTTTTAATTAAATCCTGCAACGAAAAGAAGAAATCTTCAAAAACTTTTGGATGTGGAACTTGTTGAATAAAGAGTAAATCTTAATTGTGGGGTGAATCCTCTGCAGCCGGTGTGACAGAAGCATCCTTCTCCACTCGAAAACCCACAGCATCACCTGGAACAACGCGCTCCCTTCCTTCTTTCCGCAGTTGTTAATTTCTGACCCATTCGGGCGCCGTGCAGCTGAACTGCCGCGCTTTGCTCAGCGCCCAGCAGCAGCCGGGGAAGGTTCCGCACGCCACCGGTGCACCGCGTTAAACCACCGCGGCTGCAGGAGGCCCCCCCGGCACCTCCCGCCCCGCCGGGACCTCTGAGCCCATTCAGCCCCTCCCGGCGCGGCTCCGCGCGCTCACCTGTACCACTGCAGCCCCTTCTCGTAGTTGCGGTCGAAGAAGTGGGGCTCGGTGCCCACAGCCCTCACGTCGGGGTGAGCGCGGATGGCCTCCAGCAGCGCCCGCGTCCCGCCCTTCTTCACCCCGATGATGAGCGCCTGCGGCAGCCGCTTCTCGCCGTAGTCCGGCGTGGTGCCGCGGCTCCCGGCGCGGCTCAGCTCCTCGTCCGTGGTGCTGGACTCCTGCGGGTCTCTCTCGAAGGCTCCGCTCTGCGCCGCGATCGCTTCCCCGGGGGCCAGCGGCGTCCGCGTCCAGGCGCCCGCGTCCCGGCTGCCGTTGGAGGCCCGCGGCGGAGCGGCGGAGGCGGTGGGGGCAGCGGCGCTGCCGGGCGGGCCGGGAGGGGAGCGCGGAGCCGCCGTGCCCAGGAGCGCGGCCGGGGAACGCGGGGCGCCGGGGGCCGCCGTGGCGGGGAGCGCGGCCGGGGAACGCAGGGCGGCCGGGCCCGCGCCCCCCATCAAGCTGTAGCACAGGTAGGTGAGGCAGAGCGAGAGGCTGCACATGCAGAGCAGCTTCCGCGCCGGGGGCACCTTAGAGCCGCGCCCGCCCGGCACCCCCGGCTGCGCGGGGGGGGCCATGGCTGCTCCCCGCTCCTCGCCCAGGGCAGCGGGCGCACATGGTGTCAGCCGCCTCCC